CAGCTGACAGGCTGAAGAAGCTAAAAGAGAGCATGGAGGAGGAGACAGCTGTCAAAACATACTACACACACACACACACACACACACACACACACACAATAGTGGAATGTGCTTGGTCAACATGCAGTGTGGAAAAGCCATATTAGCTTTGCATTGAGCTAACAGCTAACAGATGGAGCAGACCTGTGTCCCCTGCAGGGCCAAACAAGGTAAACCCAGATATGGACCAAGCAGACTGGACTGGCACTTTGAAAGCAATTTAAAGGGAGATTTCTCATAAACTAATTTAGATTGTGTTTGATTCTGTGTTACCTTAATTAACACATTACGTGTATTCTTTCTAACAAACTGTGCATAGCTCATAAATTTGAAAAAAAAAAAAAAATAAAAACAATTTAATTCCAGAGTTGTTTACACCAATGTTTACTAGCTTGCAATCATGTTCTTCCCTGCCTTTATTGGCACATTCCAGCTTGTTTTGGCACGTTACAGTTACCTGTGTACCACTGCAACAGAGCGATACTGTTGTTAAGACTGAGTGTGTGCAGGCACAAGGTCAGTAGAGACCCAGCTACAAAACAAAAGCTCCATAGGGCAACCCAAACGGTCCCAAAAATAAACATTTTTATCAGGTTCAATTGTCAAACTGAAGCTATGTTTAGCCTAATTATTTTTCTTGTTGAATAATCTGTTGATTATTTTTTACTGTAATTGATTAGTTGTCTGGTTGATAAAATGTCAGTCAGTGTTTCCCAAAGTCCAGGATGACATCACTGTTCCCAACCCAAACATATTCAGTTTACTCTCATACAGGTGGAATGAAACCAGATGACATCAGTGTTACGAAACTGGAGTGAGAAAATTTAGACTTTCCATTCTTAGGAAATTACTGATTATCTGTAATTGAAATGGTTGGTGATTCATTTAATACTTGACAATAAATTAGTAAATAGATTAACTGTTGTGGCTCTAGTTTAGATTTCTGACTGTGGCAACTAGTAATGAATGAAGTCAAACAAAAATACAGCATTAGATCTTCCATCAGAAGCAGTGAAAATGAACTAACACGTTTTAAAGACCAATTACGGGCTGTTGCAGGTCCATAACTTTAACACGGTAACATAAAACCAGAGCGATGTCTATGCAGGTAGCTGAAATGGCACTAGGGATTCAACTAACATGTGCTTTAATAGATTTAGCACCAGACTATTTTTGAAAGAATTTAATTACTTGGTTAACTTGCTTAGAAAAGAGTGGTAAAAGAAAGCCAGCATGATTTCCCAGAACCCAAGCTGTCATCTTCAGATGTCCCGTTTTTGTTCAAACAACACTCCAAGAACTGAAACATATTCAATTTTCAAAGACCTGAAACAACTGAACTAAGAAAATGCTCAGAATTTAGACACTGAAATCAAAGAATGATTGATATTTTGCTTGATAAAGGACAAAATGTTTAATCAGTTACCAACACTGGTTAATTCTCTGTCAGCCATCTGATTATTTGACTGTTTCAGCACTATTTGAATTCAAGTCGCAGCTATTGCTAACACCAACAGCTGGGCCAACTGTGACCGTTGAACTCTTTACTGAAAGCTGTTTGTGATAGGGGCGATTTTGAAATGTTCTCTATAGATTTAATTCTGAAGGCTTTCCACCAATTAACTGTCAACAAACTGATTAGGTTAACAGTTCAATTTAGAGCTACGTGACATAAAGAAGAAAGGTTGTCAGTGGGTTCTGACATTACTTTTACATTGCATTGTCAATGATGCTTTTGTCCAGAACAGACACACACAGACACACACAGAAACACAGGCGCACACACACACGGACACACCTTGTTTACCCATCTTGATTTCTTCTGTTTCTACTTGCAGTGCTTAGCTTGAGGACACACTCAGAGTCAGTTAGCCCTTGGCTATGGTAGGATATGAATCTGGGACTTCTCTGTATGTCAAAGTGAAAACTGACACTTTACTGACAGATGACTGGTTGAGCCTACATTGGCTTTAACAACACACAGAGTTTATACAGTATTGTACAGGTACAGGATGAGACCAGGTGACTACATGTGCAACAATGAGGAAAAATAAACACATGCAGACACTGGCTGTACACAGTGAAATCCTCCTCTTCCTCTATACTCTGCCTTGTAATGTGAGATACACGATAATACTCTCTGATACTCTTCTGCTTCAGGTGATGTCATGTGCAACATAATGTGATCTGAAGCTGCCTGAAGCTGCTTGTTTCACTTTATCCCCTGCATTAAAGGACTATGGTGCTGTTCACGAGTCTGTTCTGTCTGTCTTTTATGTTTTTTGACCAATAAGCCTGCACAGTCACAAGTGATGCAGCTCCACCAGAAGCTGACAAATAATCTGCTTCTTAACATGCATTACCTCTATTTGTATTAACAAAAACTAAAATACAGCAGAGCCGATCTGCAGAGGCTTCCATGGAGGGAACTGGCCATGATTCACTTCACACACACCCACAAGTTACTGGATTTCCTTCGAAATACCAACTGACTTCTGCATTACATAATCATACCAGCAGCTGACTGTCTGCTAACAAAGCCCCAACACATAGGCACTGCAACTCTGAACACGCTGGCAGTGCCTGTCGCCCATACTTTTATATGAGACAAGATGAGAAGTTTCTGCTCGTGTCTGAAGTGACTCCTTAATACAAACAATATTAATTTGATCATTTTAAGCCTGTTAAACACACTTCTGCCCACAGATATAGCCTCTCAGATTTAAATGGAAATCTTGATGCATCTCTGTGGCAGTCTATGCACAAAGTCACGCACCTAAAGATATGGATAGACCATCCTGCCCACACAAAGTCTGGATTAAAGATGATCTGACTAGAAGCCAGGTCTTATCACCCAACATCAGTGTCCAACCTCACTAAAGCTCTTGTGGCTCAATGGGATCAACTCCCCGTCTCTCCGAGTTCACATGCCACACTGCAACTTATAAAAGGATAAATACCTGCAGAAAAAAGTGCAGCAGTAAATCAGTGTATTTTCTAATCACCCACTTTCACTCTATCTGTAGAAACTATGTGGAAAACATTTCCAGTGTGAGCAGTGTGTTTGCAGGGCTCCAGACTAACTTTTTTCACGCGTTGCACTGGTAGCAGCACCGCCCACCTGGTCACAGGGGAAAACTGTTACTAGCTGAAAATTTGCCTATCGATAGGCACCACATTTACCAATGTTTCCTAAACGCCTCACATTGCAGGCTGTGCTAGATGATGCTTGGTGACTGCGGTGTACTCAGACAGTTGTGGAAGTAATGAAAAAAACAAAAAAAAGTTTGAAAACAGTGAAATAAAGTGTTCTAAAGTCAGATATGTCGAGGGATGTTATCCACAAAAACAGCCCATGTAAGGCTTTCATGAGCAGAACGCATTATAAAACTTAAAGACCGTCATGACAGTCGATCATTTTCATATATTGGCTAGAAGCTAAAATCCTGATTGTGAATAATAATTACTTCATTTTGCTGCCCTACTGCTGCGTTACTCATTGTAATAGGCTGGCTCATCAGCTCAGTATCTTCCAGCCTGCACCTGATCATCAGGTGTGTCTGAGGCGACCTCTAACTCTCTGCTGGTTGAGGAACACACACCAGCTCAGTCGCTTATTTTACGCATCAGGCAGAAACAGACAGAGCCATGGAGGAAATAAAAGTTACACTTTCCACTGCTGTGGCTAATGCAGCAGCTGCCTGTGCCGGTTAAAGCGACAACAAAACAGCTAAATGATCATCATGCACGTGCACAAATGTGACCACTTAAAATTTTAGCTTGCACACTCAAAGAAAAGGTTGCATATGTGACTATTTTGGTCACAGTCTGGAGCCCTGGTTTGCATGAGTCAAAAACACAAATCCAAATTAAATTGTAATCATTGCCCTAAACTGTCTCATCAAACTCTGACGGTGACAGAGTTTGCTTGTGTCACTCCTATTTTAGGGCATGATGCAGTTGTGTTATTTTTAACACTTGCTAACATGTTGTTCTTTGAATCGTTTGAACATTTGTCAGCTAGATGGTTTGCCAAGCTGAAAGCCTTGCGGGCTTTGTGTTGTCCGTGGCCTCACCCTAACTGTCAAGCTGTGAGTGAAATATTGCCATTTTTTTGCTTTGTGCAACTACTTTGTAGACGAGAGATCTTGCATTTAGAGCCTTGTTCTTGTTTCGCCACCATGAAAGCAGCAGTGTCCTCATGAAAGGGGGAAAATGGTTGGCCTGCTCACTAGAGAGTGGAAGCACAGTGCTGCATACTTAGATCCGCCTGCTGTTACAAATCACAGCAACTCACATAAATTACAGCTTCTCTTACATCACTGAAATTCTTAAAGCATCCGTTTTAATAACGTGGGGAATATTCTGGTTTTTAATAGCAGTATTGCACATCTTTCTGGTACCAGTATACCAACCAACACTACTTAATAAACTGAGTGTGCTGAACTGATACTGAACGTCGTAACCAACTCTGTGTACAAAGGCAAATTTAGAGTATTTACCACAATGTAACTGTGCTTTTTCAACACTCAAGGATTAACGCTGAAGTATGAAGTGTGTGTGTGTGTAACTAAATCAAGAGGGAGTGGAAATAAAGGAAGAAAATAAAAAGAGAGATGTGCCGATAATGGACTCTGAAATTTTCCTGGCCCATTTCATTTTCCAGTAGCACAACGCCTAATTGTTTCTGCATGAAATCATATCACACACATGGTCTGCCCACAGAGAATTAATGGAACTAATTAGTTCCTTCATTACCCAACCATTTTTAATATATACAATGAGAGATCGCGCTGTGGAAGGGAGGGAAGGAAGGAAGGAAGGAAGGAAGCTACACACAGATCAAGAGGGAAAACATTTCTCCTGGTTCACTGTACATAATGTAACACAGAGCACCGGTGATGATGACTGATGATAACACAGCAGCTGTGTGCATCTGTACTGGACCGTGTGCTTCTGTGTGTGTGTGTGTGTGTGTGTGTGTGTGTGTGTGTGTGTGTTCACCTCTGGTTCCAGTCGCCATGTCTGCGACCTTCTGAAAAGCGTCCAGGAAAGCTCCGGTCACCACGATGGTCGTCCTGAACCAAAGACAAACAACAAACACATATATTACACGAATGTCTTAAATGCACAAAAAGTACTCTGAGTGTGATCACAAGTCTTGGGGGAAAATATAAAGAATCAACAGGCCTTCAATGGAGTACAAAAAAACAAAAACACAAATGTGTACTTGGATGTACTTGGGATACCTCTGGCTACATTAGGGATACTGTACCATCCTGCTGAGGAGGTATCCAACAGTTCTTCCTGCTTGTGTATTGATGTTATGTAACTACAGCAGTGCTCTGAGGTTCAGTCCTCAAACAAGAGAACGAGGAGGACGTTTGCTATCACTGAAAATTGGGGCTGAACAATGAATTAGTTTCAAAGCAAAAATTGGAATAATGCAAACACCAATTCACAAAGGCTGCAATTTAGAATATACAAGAGTATCTACTAAATAATGAGACTCATGCTGTTGTTCTTTTTATTTAACCTGTGCAGATTGAAACTTTCAGAGGTTGTAAATGCTTGCACATTGACAAAGCTCCAGACTAACTCTTCCAACTTTCCCAGCTGACCGCAACCAGCACAGGATTTGGTCATGATTTGTAAATTATTAACATTTAAAAATAAAATATATATTAATTTTGTAACCAGTCTTTTCCTTGAGGTTGTATGATATCACTGATATTAACTATGTGCCGGCTAAACTCCTTACTTGCTAAACATCAGCTTATCAATACATGCCACGATTTACAGATGTTCCCTAAACGCGTCACATGCATGCTACGGTGGATGCTAACCAGGCGACTGCAGTTCACTCAATCAGGTGTGCAACCAAAAATGAGTTGGAAAAGAGTTGCATTAGATGTTTGAATGTCGGGTTTACCCAAGTTGAAACCAGCACACTTCATTTGTGAGCTGCCAACATCGAGATTGCGGTTAATATCGGTTTCATTTTGCAGTCCTAGCACTGTGTGCACCACCATGATTGAACGTACTGGGCTATGTCTTCTTCTTCAGTGACTCAATCAGTATCTCCCTAAGCAGTCTTGTTACCTAATCACAACAACTTGTACATTTTGCAACACATCTTTAGGTTTAAACTCGTGTGCGTCAGTGGTTTAATGCCGTCCTCCTTGTGTGACTGTCACATTTGCTCATGTGGTAATGCTCCGTCACGTGCTTTAACTCCACTGCACAGTAAATACAAAACTGAACCAGGACTTTAAAAAGAAAAACCAAATCGCATTATCTGTCAGAAAAATCCTAATTAGATTTTTTTTGAGTCACAATTGAGCCCACTTGAGAATAATGGGAAGCTCTCACATGGTTATTAACTGTTTCAGATACAGGAACTTGAAAAATGCTTACGGTTCATTTATGAAACCATTTAAAACAAAATCTCTGTCTCTGATAATCCGTCTTTGCATGATTGGCAGAACTGTGGTCACGCTCAAACTCACGGAAAGAATAAAAAGCTGCCAACAGAAGAAAATTAGAAATGACCAGCAGAACAAAAAGCTGAAATGAGTTTGCATTTAGTGTGATACTCTCTGGTTATTTAAGAAAGTGAACATTTAATAAAAGTACATTTGTGGTGAAGGCGGTGATTAAAGCAACTTAATCACACCTCAACAGTGACTGGCTCCATGCTACACCACACTGATGCAGCAATTCATGGTAAAGGAGCCCCAGCCAAGTAAAAACAACTATCAATGAACTGACTTCAGAAGTTGGACATTTCTATATTTTAAATCCTATTATGATTGTTCTTAAGAAATCTTCTCATAGTTTGAGATACTGGATTTCTGATGTTCATGAGCCATAATCAGCTAAATTAAGAACAAAAA